GAGGGTCGCACCGTGGAGGCACGGCCGCTCGCTTGTGTGCCACCACTTCCATTCAGAGGGTGATTTTTTTTCAAAAATTCAGGAAAAAAACCCAGCTCCTCGCCGCACTGCTCTGCGAGTTGTTTGTTTTTTTTTTTTTTCACCTGCTTTGTAATTTTGAATTTGCTGCAAACTTGTGGCAGCTCAAGGCAGGATTAAATGCTGTTTGATGTGGGGTTTTTGCTCTTTAGTTTGCTGCTGGAGTCTTTTTAAGGAACAAAATGCTGATTTATTCCGTCTGGCAGACAGCGAGGGCTGCAGTGCACTATTTAAAAGGGACAATCACGATGATGTCAGCACTTTTCGTCCTTAAACGTGCATTACAGTTACTGGTGGTCGCTGCAATCCTCGCGAATGCACGACAAGTGCCACTTTCTGCTGCGCCCGTGCAGCCGGTGAGGCTTTGCGTGCTCCATTCAGCCACTATTTGCTGGAAGAGGAGCTGATTTTTCCCTCAGGCTGCACAGTTTTCAAGGTTTGTGCCGGAGACCTGGGTTTGTGGTTGCTTTTCTCACAAACCCTCTCTCGATTGTAAAGGAAATTGGGGGGCTGTCTGAAGGCGAGGGTTACGTGTTGTGGCGTGTCCGGGGGAGCTGAGCATCACCGGCGTGACTTCCCAGGTTTGCAGTTTCCCTCTTGCCACCAGCATCTGCTGTGTCTTTCTTCCCAATTAATTCTGGCGCTTTTTCCCCGATTTATAAAGACGGTGAGCTAAGCTCTTTTTTTGGGGGGCTCACTCTCTTGGAAACAGTGGGGTTTCCCTGCAAACCTCATCTGGTGGAGCGTTTGAAAGCCACATTCAGTCCTCGTTTCTCTAATAGCCGGGTACAGCCAGCGTCCCATGGACATCTGCACAACACGCCCGCGTTTGTCTACAAATCCGACGCCAAACCTGGATATTAGATATTCGTCTTGATTTCAGTGTGCCCGGAGCGGGCCGAATTGTGCTGCGTAAACCTCGCCCTTTATGTCTCGACCTGACAACCTGTCCAGCAGAAATTGAGACTAAAAGAAGGAAATAGACCGAGGGGCAAAATCGGGGCATGGGGTGCAATGGCCAAAGCACGAGAAAGAGCCAAAAAACCATCTCCAGCAACCTGCACGAGGGGTCGCTTGGGTTAAAACTCTTGACTTCTGGGAAGAGCTGCAGGGCTGGTGCTTTCCGAGGAGCCTCCCATGGGTCTGGTGAGGAGCAAGGCTCTGCGTGCCGCGTCCTGCTGATTTTTTTAGGCGTTTCTTGGTGCGCTGGGCTGACCGTGAACACAGCGGTGGTCCCCACTTGGACTTAGTCTCTGCTCACACTGGGATTGGTAAGAGTTTGCATTTCTTCCCACTAAACAGAGAACAAAGCACTTTTTTTTTTTTTTTTTGCCTTGGGTTTTAACTAAGGCCGAAGAACAAAATTATTTCCAAACTGGAATTTCTCTTTCTTGCTGCTCGCTGCAGCATTGTGAGACCTAGACAAGCCCAGCTTGGTAAAACCATGAACCGCACCGCCTTGGGCTTCCTCCCAAAGCAACCCCATTTTATAAGAGTTCAGATGCGTGCAGCATTTTGCGTATCATCATGCCTACAGGATAACAAGTGCCGGGTTAATTGTATTCCCTAATTATGGGATTCCTTGCCTAATTATACCTGGCCCATTATGAACTGATTTAGCCGGTGACGAACACGTTGCTGCGCCTCCAGTGGGGCCACGTTAGCCGGCTCTTAGCAGATAAGCGCGATGTAAAACTCACTGGCGGGTGGCTAATTCAAACCCTTGCTGCTCTGGGGCATGAAGTAACGGTGCTTTGGCTTTGCCAAGCTTGGGAAATAATTTCTGGGCACGCAGGTCCCTGTGCTACCTGCCTTTGTGAAGAGGATGTTCTAATAAACCAGTGGTCAAAGTGAATATCATGGTAATAAATTACCTCCCCCTACACCCCACCCCCCCTTTCTTTTTTTTTTTAATCTCATCACTAAATTAGCCGTTGCATTAATAACAGCCGTTCTTGCAGTGGATTAGTGGGGCTTCACAGCTTCTGGAAAGCTCAGTCAAGGACCGACGCTACAAAATCCTTCCCAAAACCCTCCAAGTGTGGATTATTTATGGGCATCCCTGGAGTTAATTACCTTCTCCATATGAATTTTGAATTAATCAAAGATATCCCATGTTGCATTTTTCCTCCCCGAAGAGAACTGCTGGTGGTTCTCCATCATCCCTCAAAAGCGCGTGCTACCCAAGGCGTGATGGAAGGGTGCTGGTGAGCACCTGAGTAAGACTGAGGGAAGGTTTTTGCAAAGTCTGAGACGATATTAATAGCATCCAAGTGGTGTAATCTGAATTAGGAGTTTCCAGTGAATTGCCTGGTGCTCATTAAGGGATTGAGCTGATTGCATCGTTGAAATGTTTTTTGTTTTTTTTTCCCAACTGGGGGGAAAGCAACAAGTACAGAAGAGATCTTTGGAAAGAGGTGAAAATTGATTGCTTGGCCCTCAATCTCTGAAATAAATTCAATTTGAAAGGAACCACTGCTCATGGAGCTGAATGGAGGGGGGATTGAAGAGGCAACATCCCTCCCTGCTCATAAAAAATCTCCCTTTCTTTGGGTTTTGGGGAACGTGAGCATGTTCTAGCTGCAGCATCTGGCCTGGTCTTGAGATGGAAGCGGAGGGTGGCAGGGCTATAGCCAGGGAAGGGTTAACAGCAGCCACAAATGGACCCAACTGCAGGCTATAAAAGCTCAAAGGGGAAAAAAAAAAAAAAAAAAAAA